CAACTTTTCCATTGTGGGCGTAATGTAGAGCTTTTCGTCTTTTACAAGCCTTACACACAAAGATGTTTAATGAATAATAAATTATTGAAATCAGTACCTACACGCACTTTTCAAGTTTTTATTGAATGTCACGATATTTTACTGCTATGATATTCTATTATTTTTTGTTGATTGCTCCATTAAGCAGTTTATTATAATTGTTAATAACAAAGATATACATCTACGAACACTTTAAAAAAAAATCTTCAGCATAGACAAGCAATTTTTAAAGTCTTTGAAATCATTAAATACTCGTACTTTTAAAAATAATGTTTACATGAAGCAAAATATCTTATGCAGATTATCTAAAATAATTTCCTTCCGTGTCGCACAGAACAACAGATTGTTTATTCTGCGAGAAATAAACAAATATTATTATTACGTCGCTTATGAAAAATGAGCATAATTGTCATAATCTAACAATATATTAATGTTTGGTACCTATTTATTTTTCGAATTTTCGGTGTACACTTATAAAATAAAGTCTTAATGCAGTAAAAGGTTTATGGCTTAATAAAGTTGTAATTGATATTCGGTACTAATATTTTACAGCAGCTTTATAAAACAAATTGTAAAACATGTTATTTCAAAATACGTAATTATCTATTCTCTTCATGGATCGGCTGGTATAACCTCTCTTTAAGTGGATGTAATATTACCTACAATAATTTAACAACGGCATAAGTATTCATTGAAGACAACCTGTACCTACATTTATTTTAAATAAATAAAATAAAATAAACAAAATTCTTTTATTTCTGACAACAATTTCCATTATCTGTTAGTAACAGGAAAAGAGCTTATAAATTAGTTACTGACCACCACCGATAATTTGAGTTTCAGATACATACCGATCACAAGTTTTAGGTATGTATAACATGCGGCATGGCCTTTAATTACCGTTCTGTACCCTCAAAGGTAAATAGGTACCCATGTACTGAATAAGAGAGCCACGACGCCCATGGGACAACTCTCGGTTTCCAAGTTTTGTTTTTAAACGTAAGGTAGATATATATATGTTGTCATAGGTTTGTCAGTTGCACGACAAGAAAGGTACACTCTGAAGATACTTCTAAAAATGTCCTGCTTATATCGTTTAGGATATACAGGACATGGCAAAGACTACTACGATAAAGCAAAACTCTTGGCGTGAATTGATGGAGCATCTTCAGCAGCAGTACAAATGTTTGCTGATACGTTATCAGAATAGCGTGTGAACTTTATAATTCTTTTTTAATTATATCGACTTTTATAAAAGTCTTCACATTAAAACGGAGTTCGTTCATAGTTCGTGTCTTTGATGTTTATATTTTCTACGGCTTTCAAAATAAGTTTTATTTTGCATTATACTCGACGCGCCCGCTCGATCACAGGTCCTTTGTCACGTTGAGTAGATTTTAAGGAAAAGTTTTATTCAAACAAGGTAAGGAAATTTGATAAAAAAAAACACTGTGCTATCATTTAGGTTCTTTTCCATATAGTTGTTGTTATCTTGTCATGTTGTCTCGTCTACTAACTACTAACTAAACTGACATCATAATTAGAAATGAATCCATATCAACGTACTTAATAGACTAGTTAAGTTAATTTAGTTACTTAACGCACATAATAGTAACTGTTGAGCTCCTTGTGAAAGAATTCGTCCAGGGTAGTACTACCACGTCATCTATTTCTGCCGCCAAGCAGTAATGTCAGCATTACTGTGTTCCGGTTTTGAAGAGTACGGGTGCTGGTGAAGTTACAGGCTCCTGGGACTTGCCAACTTATGTCTCAGGGTGACGGGCGCAATGGCTGTGCCTCTCAGATCTTTGCGGTTTAAGTGTGGCACTGCAACGGTTATGGACAGGCGTGTAGCTTACCATCAGGCGCACTACTCGTTCGTCCGTTTCTTGATATTATAAAAAAAATGTACTTATATTTCGAAGTCCGCATACGGGATTTGCTGGAACTAACTTCACCATATAACATAAAGACGATTGTAGCATCCTAAACAAAAAACACGTTATTCTGTTTTCTTCTGTATCACCTCATGCCTGTTACGGTTAACATGTATATTATTTACGGCTGGAAACCACATTTAAATTATAATAAACACAAGTCTTTTAGTCCATATTTCCACGTAAAGGGCTTATAAACAAAAGGTCAAGCATTATCTACTCGCGTAATAATAAGAATGACCCCGACGAAAGAACAAATTTCGCGATTATCTACATTATTAAGAATAATGAGATTATACGGTCAAAAGTCCCGGTCCCAGCTTATGAATATTAATGCCGGCTTACCTAAGTAGCGAATGTGTTGCATGATGATAAAGGATTATTTTCAACCTTAGTGCAATTTTTTTTTGTGTTTCGCCACATAGGTTTTTGTTTTGGTTGATTAAACTTCTTTTTTTATATAATAGCAAATGACGAGACCAACAAGTCGTGCGCCTGATAGTACGCAACACACCTGTCCATAACAGTTGCAGTACCACTCAGAGTTTTCGCAAAAAAAAAGTCGCCAAGATCTGAGGGGAATTGCCATTGCGCCCGTTATCCTGAGACATAAGTTGATAAGTCCCATGTTCCTGCCACCAGCACCCTTACCCTTCAAAATCGGAACGCAGTAATGCTAAAGATACTGCTTGTCGGCAGAAATACGTAAGGTGGCAGTACTTCTCTGGACGAACTGTTTCACAAGGCGCTCTACTGCTGCTTGAAAAACCGACATATCTACAATCACGAGCGAGCCGGATCAGCCCATTCAATTGGAAAGTTTTCTGCGCAGGTGTCTTTGGTAGAAGCTGACGGAATGACTGATTTGCAACCTGCAGCATTGAAGAGGCACTCTAAGAAGAAGAAGAAGTCTTTTGTACAGAAAAGAGGTGATAGCAGAGCCTCAACGTATAGTTACTGTAATTTTACTGTGATTATAATGTATGGTAAATCCACGGTGAGATATTTATTTTCAATAGAGGATTATATAGGACATAAAAATTATAAATGGAAAAAAATGTTTATGTTCCTTACAAACTTTAGTGGGTAATATAAAAATTAGGTGCCTAGAAAAAAACACTGTTATTGTGAAAAGGATATGAAGCTTACAGTATCGTAAATAACCACGAAAGGTGATTTGTCAGTTTTGTAGTATTACAGAGTGGAAATATGAGACAGTATAATGAGGGTAGAACTGTACTCATCCCAACTTTACGGCATAATACCTTAATTTTATGTGTGTGAAGATCCCATTCCGCATTTTATGAAAAGGGTTTTTAGAGAAAATTAAATAGAAGTTGTAATGTGCGGTGGAATTTAAAAGCATGGCAATGAAATGTACTTGGTTTATTGCTACAAGTTCTTTGCAGGCGCTATTAAATTTGCACGTCGCCCGCGGGCCGCTAACAATAAGGATAGGAATGGTTCGTCTAGAACAATCGTAGTCTTTTAGAAGTGGAAAATATTTCGAATAAATTATATTGTTATTTAATTGGAATTTAGCAAAACATTTTTTTTGTTAGCTTGCGTTTAATTTTCTTTTTAAGATACCAGGTACGAACCAGTCGTGCGTCTGATATTAAGCGTGCCAGTTCTGACTGGCACGCTTAAGTTTCTTAAGATCTTAAAAAAATTTAAAAAATATTAAAAAACGTAAAGCGCTGGCTTTAATCGCAAAGATCTGACGGGCATTGCCACTGCGTCCGCAATCCTGAGACGTAAAGTGACAAGTCCCATTACTGTCCCACTGCACGGCAAAGGCCTCCCTTCCTTTTTTCACTCTTCGCGATTTAACGACATTACAGGCCAAGATCTCATATACATCGGTCACGTTACCAATTAGCGGCAGAAAATCTGGCATTTCTTCTACTGCTAGTAAAATAAAAAAAAAACAACACAAGGCACTTTGACATTTTCGTACGTTTCTTGTCCGTTGCCTAATGCGGCTTAATAAACTTTATACTCTGTGTAGTATATAAATTCATTATGCTATATATACAATATCGTTACAAAAATTCGCTTCCATTCCGTTGCGCCGCAATATAAATTGAGCCTTAGATGTGCCTAATTACTTCTACACGACCCCTCCGACACTTCAATAAACTGAGTTGTCCAAGTTTTTATTTAGAGTTGAAAGGAACCTAAGTTTTTGAAGGTTTATTTGCAGAGCGAGCCACTAAGAGGAAAGCATTGTACTCTATTTATTTCCTTCGCAACCACAAATTAGACGAAAGTCTTTCAGAACTTAGTTTGCGTCTGGCGCGACTCTGTCCGTCTGCAAGTAAATTTGTTGTATATAAGATTTACAGTTTGAAAACTACTTAAGTGGTCGTATCTAACCTAAAAGATCGTACAGATTAATTTTGACTTCTTAACTTCGTTTTTGTATATAAAAGCTGCAAATGTTTAGCAAAATTTTTAGCACTACAAGTTTTAATTATAGTTTATATTTATGCAATTCTTTAAATCATAAGGTTTTAGTGTAATAGTAAAACTATGTATTATATTGTACGAAAGGAGCCTACCTACCACTGTAATGTTCAATTTAATTTTTATTTTCAATTTTTAAATTCAGTTTTAATATTTAAAATTTAAGTATAATGTGATAATAATATAATTTTAAATATGGATTGTAATTATCTCAAAATAAAATATTTTTATTACAAGCGCCAGCGATACGATAAGAAGAAGTATAACTGAAACTTATAAGAATGCATTTCATTTCTGAAGGTAGTCAAATAAGTTCACAAAATGTATAATACTTATTTGTTTATTTACATACACGAACTACACTCCCGGACACATAATTCGAGTCACTTTGCATTAAAAATAAATGTTTGATTAATCAAAAGCTTTTTAAGTTAAAAAAATATCACGGTGCTTGACCACCATGATATTAATTTTTTTTTATTATTACGGCAAAAAATGTCGTTAAAATTAAAAAACAACGATCTGCAACAAGCACATGTTTAGAAAAAATCATAAGGTTCTTTCCGTGGCTTAGTTCGAATCCAGATGGATCGAAGAATGTTTTTCTTAGTGTTCGATCTTTATATTAATAATTATTTTAATGAAAAGCTATTATGCAATTTGGGAATTAGTAATACTAAACGTCATTTTCGTACGTCCTTGTTGAAATGTTGAATTTGTAAAACCGGGGAAAACTTCTTTGATTCCAATTATATTTTTGTATTTAAAAATGCAAGGTGGTGCGAATTATGTATCTGGGTGAATATTTACATACTAAACGTACAACTAAGCTTAGCCCACAGCCTGATACTCTTGCTAACATAAATACTAATTGATACTTTTGAATCTATTACTTTGTTGAGCAAATAATCATGCTTTTATGTCCCTATTCACCTCTGTATACAATATTAAAAAATAAGTAATTGTATAAATAAGTAATTGTATAAATAGTAGAAACAACTTATAAAATAGAAAGACTGACCCGAAAGATAGATTATCAGTCCCGCATTGGGAATTAGGCGGTTTACCCAGGCGGGGTCTGGTTAGACACAGAACCCTACGACCAGTGTTATCTCTGCTTTAATAAATTGTTATATATTTCAAGATTTTCGTAGTCTTTTTTAATGACGACTATCACTACTTATGATATGTTACCATGGCATGCTTTTGATTTTTTCTCGAGCGATTACAAATTCTATAGCCACGGGTTGACTATTTCCAGTTTTACGTTCAGATACAATGAATGTGTCGGGAAGAATGACAATAGTAACGCCGCATGAAGTCAAGATGAAGATAGTGGTCGACAGTGAAAGAGGGTAAACAAATATACTGTCTACTGATGTTTGTCAGTCAACTGGGAGACAAGTACACTTAGTATTTGTATTTGTATTTGAATTTGTAACTAAATATAATCATTTACTACCTGGAACTTTATTTTAGTTTTTAACTAATATTTTACGGGTTATTACCATATGATCCCCTAAACTGATCCACTGATCCACAATTTTAAATCTCTTGTGATCCCCTCTATATTTTGCAAATCCCAACGAATCCCCTCATTGTACTTGTACAGTCAAGAGAAAAGAAGTTTTGAAATCAAATATTCATCTATTGATCAATTATGATCAAATGTTATAATTATCACATTATCAATTCTTTTTTGTGACAGGTCATTAATTTTGACATATTGCGAATCACAACTAACAAAACTCAGTATTAAGTAGTATTTAAGAAAATAACAAAGGGTTATACCTTGATCACTAAAGTTGTTATTGTATTATAGTTCGTTTCTATATATTAGTTCATTTATAATAAACTAAATAAAATACAGCACAACCCTCAAATAGTTTTTCTTGATGACTGTACCACAGTACCTACCAAAAATAAACTTGTAAGTATTAGGGTATCAGGTGGGAATAAAATATTCATATTTATTCTTAATCATGCAGGGGCATTGGGGATCCGATGGGAAAATAAAACTATATAAAATGAAACCTATCCCTGGGGGATCGGTTTTATTTTATATAAGGGACTAGACAAAAAATAACCCTATTTTACAGCTAAAACTAGTCCTAATGCAGTTTATTGTCCTTAAAATTATTAGGTCGCTTCCTAATTATTTGTTTACTATGACTTATTAGGGCTTCATAAAACGTATTTGTACGGAGATGAGTTTCAAATTTTTCACAATGCTCTATGAGAGTTGGGTAGAGGTATTTGAGCTCGGCGTGGTCCAGTGTCGGGAATAGATGGTGTAAGGCGTGATCACCGAACCTCGTGATGGACTTGAAGTGGTTCCCAGCGTATTCGATGCGTTCTACTATTGTGTCCAATTGGTGAATTCCGAAGTCCATGTATTCCTCTCTGAAATAAATAGAAAGGGATTGTAAGTGTAAAATAAATTTTCTTTTTATGATACTAGTGATAGGATAAACAAGTCGTGGCTTTATGATAAGCGACACGCCGGTTCATAGCAATTGCAGTGCCACTCAGAGCTTTAAATTGCAAACATCTGAGCGCACTGTCACTACTTCCGTCACCCTGAAATAAGTTGGCAAGTTCCATGGCCAGTAATTGCACCAGTATACGCTTCAAAACCGGAACGCAGTAATGGTCATATTACTGCCTGGTGGCAGAAATAAGTATTAGCTCTACTGATACTTCGTTTAATCACACATAATTGAGTCACACAGGTAATGTGAAAGTTCTTAATGTAATATAAAATCCAGCTATGTAACCCTACAGAGCTGGGGATTTATGTTATATAATTTATATTTAATTTAAAACAAATTGCCTTAAAATTGCTTTCTTCTAAAAATTTTAAAATTAAACACAATTAAAATTTAAACCAGCGGTAACAAAATTAAAATATTCCTTTCTTTACATTAAAAACGCAGATTTCAATAGTTTACAAACTAATTATATTATATTTAGATAAGATGCAATGTTTCTATAAAACACACTTCGACCAATCTAATGACCTAGATGTAGGACTCTTCATAATTATCACAAGGCGTGTCAAATCAATTTTCGATGCTCTTTCTTTGGAATTCGTGTATCGCCGCCGTCCTTTTCAATGATTTTATAAGGGTTAGACCCGATTTTTCGGTAGCGTACATAACATACAGATCGCAATAGTGCCCCATTACTACTTGGCGGTAGAAATAAGTAAGGTGGCAGTATTTCCCTGGACGAACTCTTTCACAAGGAGCTTAATTGATACAAAACCTAACAGGTCATCAAACGGTTTGACCCGTTCATAGACAGTAACGGCGTTTACAGTAAAATTGAATATCAGTATATGATAGTACGGGATACCACGTTTTGCTATGGTGCTCTCTGTGTGCATTTGCCGCCCACTGCTTGTCCATAGAGAAGTATCAACAACGTACTGACAAAAAATGGTTTACATTGAATATTTTATATTGAAGCAATATAAGCACTACGCCAAGAAAAATAGTGACTTTATTTACTATTTAAGTGAACGGGTTCATGATAATTTTTCTCATACCGAAACAAAATTACTACAAACTTGAAGAAGATGACGAAGGTCATAATAAATACGCACTATTAATTGATTTTACGTTCCGACGTTACACGTGAGGTCGACGAGATGACATTGTTACTTATTCAGTAAATTAATTCCTTACAAGGGGAAAATAACTTCTGAGAAGTCAATTACACTTGGTGACACAAATTGTAACCACAATTCAGCTGATGTTACTCTTAACGATAACATGTTTTATTTTCTTGGTAACAATAGTTTTACCACATTAAAGATATAAATTCAACGAATGATAATTTTTTTTTTCTGAAGTAGTTTGTTGTAACGTTAAATACATTTTGACGATGTCTGAAAACACTACAAAGATATTTTTTAATGTAAAGGCACAAAAAATCTCGAAACAAAAGAATCGCAGTTAAATATAACTACAGTTGACGTCAACGTACAACAGGTCACAATAATGTACAAAAAATTAGGATGTAATTAAATGAAGTTTTTGTACACTTATTTCGCGCATGCGGTCTACACACGGGAAATAAAATCGGGGCAACTAACAAAATAAAATAGACTATACGTAAGCTTTAAAACAACTTATGTTATGATGAAGATGGACGGACATGTTTGCAGGACGGCTGGTGGCCGATGGAGCAGACTTGTTCTAGAGTGGCGATCACGTCAAGAAAAACGCAGTGTAGGACTGTGGCAAGACGGACGGATGACCTGAGAAAGGTGGCCGGCAGCGGATGGATGCAGGCGACACATGACCGGGAGAGTTGGCGTGCTCAAGGGGAGGCTTATGTCCAGCAGTGGACGCGTGTAAGCTGATGATAATGATGGAACTAGGACCTTATTTTTTGCCTTTTGTTTGTTTCTGTATTTTGTTCTTATATGCATTACTATTTATTTAATTTGAATTGTATATTGTATTGTACGACTCCCTAAAAATCGATTAAGAGATTACTTACATATATACTACTAATACCGGTACATGGCTTAGAAAAAACATATTGCCACGTATCTGTTTAACATTACGAATAAAATGAAGGTGTGCCCACGCAACTTTTACAATAGTACTGTACAAAAATTAGTCAATAATCAAAATACAGAGTTTTTTTTGTATTGTACATAAGACGTCGGCTAGTTGGAAATAAATATTTGAGGTAGTTGTTTAGTATCGTAATTAGAAAATAATTTGATGGAGAAAAAAGCAAAAATAAAAAGAAATGTTGTCACTTATCTACTAATTTTCCAGTCAATAACCCAATTTTGTAAGAGAAAGGTGTAGTAATGTAGTTATTTTTTTAAAATTTTAACTTTTTTTGGTAAAACACTTTCATTTTCTTTAGACATTAGACAAGATAATCTTACACTGTTTGTAATACCAAACAATCCATTTAAAGGCTTGTAGTCAAATGGCAGGATATTACTCTAAGGCCATTTATTCATTATAGTAAACAAATTAAAAATGTATATTTTATATATAAATGAACATCTGTTTGTATGTCGTTGTGTGACCCGCGTATGTTCCATAATTATTCATTAGATTGCGATATACCTTTTGTACGGTATATACGCGCGTAAAAGCTTCTGAAGTATTAGATCCATCTTAAAATATCAGATGGGTCAGTTGTTTCAACAAATATGTTTATATTTGATTAAATAAGTGACACACCTGCTGAAAAGACGGTTATTTGCACATGCAAAAAAAACAGTTTTTTCTTTCAGTGGCACTTTGTAAAAAGTTTTCAAATATTGATAGTTACTCGATTTTATTACCTACGAGTTTATTTCATTTTGGGTATCAAATGTAGAATGGATAGTTTATTTAAATTGACACACAACGCACACGTTGAATACCTAATAGTCCAGATAGTACGTGACTGATTTTCGTATAGCAGAAAATTCGGAAAAATGTGTTCGTGATTCGAATGAACTTATTCTATTTTGGGTCGAGCACTCAGCTAGCAACTATTAAATTAATATTTGTGATTCCAAACTTCAAATTGTAACTTTATGAAAATAGTATCCCTCTATCTTGAACAAATAACCCTCTTGGTAAAGTAAAAGGAACAAATTATTCTTTAATTTACCTCTAAAAACCCGAAGACCCTTATTAGACTGTTTATGCTTTAATTAGAAGCACTCTTGAGTATGCCAGCGGCAGCATCGTCTGGTCACCCTACTACTTCATTCTAAGCGTCTGGAGGGCGTACAGAACAAAGCCCTCAAAATAGCTAATATATATACAGTCTTTAGAGTAAAAAAAAAGTTGAATGGTGTAACCCACCACTTTTGCGCCTCATTTATATTATAAGCACATTATTTCTTTTATTTAATGTTATATAAAGTGTTTATAAAATGTGAGTGCCGATTAATTATTTACATAGTGTAAAAAATACAATTCATTTATTGTCTAAAGGTGGTGGACATTCAGATCTTATAGTCATAATTACCTCCTCACAATCTACTCGCTACGGGCGGACAATATTTAATGTGTAAGTGTAGATAAAATTAAATTTGTATATAAGGCATATTTTTATACTTATATTACATTACATTAATTTAGTACATAGCTAAGTTAATATCTATTCTACAGATTACTTAATTGTTACTGTGTAACACATACGTCACTCGGGCATCACTCTACAAGCCTACTAAATCTGACTAATGACACCAGGTGCTCACTACGAGGAAAAAGGAACTTAAGCACGCGCTCAGAGAAGTGAAAATAACGTTGCTCGCCGTGTGCAGTCGTGCGGAGCCGAATGCCCATAAATGAAAGACTTGTATGAGCGCTTGCGCCGTCGTCGGCGCACTCAGCGGTAGTTACTCATCGCACAACCTTGAGCGAGTGACGGAGCCCTGGTAACTTTTATATTATTTGGTACTTTATTCATATTAATATTAGGGGTTAAAGTATGAAATTGCCGTTTTATTGCAATAGGTTCTTTGAATTTTCATAGAATCTTCATGGTTTGAGGTTTTCGAATGAAACTTTTTTCAAATGGTTTCTGTGATTTTTTTTTTTTTAAATGAAACATTTGAATATCGACTTTCAATTGTTTTTGTTATTCAATTTAGACAAGAAAGATGGATACTGCGAAAATTCGAGTGATTTTTGAATACGAGTTCCGACGCGGAACTAACGCGGCAGAAACAGCCCGCAATATCAATGCTGCGTTTGGAGAGGGGTCTACTAATGAACGCACCGTGCGATTTTGGTTTAAACGCTTTCGTGATGGAAATTTCGACTTAAAGAACGAGCCACGAGGAAGACCGCCCACACAGGTGAATAACGATGAATTAAGAGAGATAGTGGAAGCCGATCCTAGTCAAACTACCCAGGAATTAGCGGCATGGTTTAACGTTACCTTACCCACAATATTGACTCACTTGCGTCAAATCAATAAAATAAAAAAATACGAAAAATGGGTGCCTCATGATTTGACTGATCTGCAGAAAGAAAAGCGTGTTGAAACTTGTGTTGCCTTGTTGAACCGGTACAGAAATGAAGGAATATTGGATCGAATTGTAACATGTGATGAAAAGTGGATTCTTTATGATAACCGGAAAAGAAAAATGCAATGGCTGACCCCAGGTCAAATGCCACAACAGTGTCCTAACCACCACCACATTTTACCAATAAAAAGGTAATGGTAACTGTTTGGTGGTCTCAGCATGGTGTTATTCACTATAGTTTTCTCCGATCTGGTCAAGCAATAACGGCAGATGTCTATTGTGCCGAACTCCGAACCATGTTGACAAAACTAGCAGTAAAACAGCCCCGACTCATGAATCGATCTTCACCATTATTGCTCCACGACAACGCGAGACCTCACACAGCACGAGAAATCATTTTGACCCTTCAGGAACTGCAGTTAGAAACCATTCGTCATCCTCCGTATTCACCAGACCTTGCTCCAACGGACTACCATTTTTTTCGTGATTTGGACAATTATCTACGTGACAAGAAGTTTTCTTCCCAGGAGGCAGTACAAAATGCTTTCACACAGTTTGTGCAGTCTAGATCGTCGGAGTTCTATCGCAAAGGCATTAATAACCTTCCCATTAGATGGCAGCAATGTATAGATAATAATGGCAACTATTTTGATTAAATAAATTTGTTAAAAATTTAAAAAATAAACAATTTAGATTTTCAGTACAAATCGGCAATTTCATACTTTAACCCCTATTATTATAAATACGAAAGTTACTCTGTTTGTTACGTTTTCACGCTTAAACAGCTGAACAAATTATAATCAATTTTGATATAGAGATAGATGGGATCTAGGAGAAGGACATAGGTTACTTTTGTTACAAATATAAATGTTAAAGGGGTGAAACAGAGTATGAAAATTTGTATGTATATAATTTGTACGTATATAACCAAAATTATGAAAATTTGTATAATACAGTAGGCTACTTGAAGTACCCATTCCACGCAGACGAAGTTGCGGGAACCAATGCCTCCTTGGCTGAACACTTACTATGCTGGACTGCCACGCAGAGGTCCCGGGTTCGATACCTGGGCCGGGGGAAATATTTGTATGGCTCACATTAATTTATCTCGTGAGTTGAGGTGTAGCTTGTGGTCTTTGTGTGTGTACATGGTACAGGGTTTCCCTTGTGCAGAGTTACAAATTTCTGCGTTATTATTATTATTATAGCTAGTTTCTTATAAAGATATTTTAAATAGATAGTAGATGTTGGCGATATGTTCTTATTTAGACTAGGCACTAATAAACTTTGTAAAATAAACCAAGTTTTTCTTAGTGTCCTTTCTTAGTTCAGCATACCTTGGAACGTCTCCATCAAAGAAGTTTCTATGCGAATGGTGTCCAGCCGTTAAGCCAAAGACCATAAAAAAGAAACTCGCTGTCATTAAAGTCGCTGTCCACATAAGTAATGTCCAGGGTAAGGAGAGCCCTCCGAACAACCACATCCAAACAGGCAGGAAGAACGCAATCATATCAGACCATTTTATTGTTTTACCTTCGTGCTTGATGACACTTGTTATCATTCTGTAAATTTTTAAATAACATTAGTAATTACAGAACTAAGCATGTAAAGCCATATCGACACCAGCAATTAACACTACGTTAACTCGAATTTTGTCGATTTCGCATTTTTATTATTTTTTATAATATCAAGTGACGGGACGAACAAGTCGTGCGAAAAGCGACACGACTGTCCATAACACTTGCAGTGCCACTCAGAGTTTTAAATCGCAAAGATCTGAGGGGCATTGCCACTGGGCCCGTCACCCTGACATAAGTTAACAGTCTCATATGCCTGTAATTTCACTAGCACCCTTACCCTTCAAAACCGGAATATAGTAATGCTGACATTACTACTGCTTGGCGGTAGAAATAGGTAAGGTACTTTCCTGGATGACCTCTTTCACAAGGAGCTCTACTGCTAGAATTTTTTTTTTTTAGAATTATTCAGAACTAAATTCAAAATTAAGAAAATAATACAAAAAATCATATATTTTATAAAATAGTAATTGTAAAATATATGTTTGAAAACTAAAAAGATTCCTTTTTATTATAGGCTCTGGTTAAAAGTTGCAATTGTTAAGTTGTACTACCTAAATTGTAGCACCCAAATTATATAATAAGCTACCGGATGCTGTTAAAGAATTTATTGTACACAATTTAAAATAAAATTCGTTGGTTACTCAATCCTACTTCAATATTGAAGACTTTTTACTTGATAACATCAAATGTAAAATTTAACTATTGTTTCTTATATTTTTGTTTTCCTATATTATTATTAAATTCCAATTGTTATTGTTTGTTTATGCTATTGTATTAATTTGACTTTAAATGCATGCTACATCAAAAGTGAAACAAGAATTATGTACAATATTCGCATGCCAAGTCTTGGTGAATTGTACGATCTACTCGTATAAGACCTGCATTGTTAAACTACATTTTCCAGCGAATAAGTATTTTGTATTCTTGTTAGTGTAGTGTTAATTGCTAGTATCGATATGACTGACGGAAGTACTCTACAGCGTACTACATTGGGTGATATTCTGCTCTGTAACATTCTGCTAAACATAACAATAAAACATTAGGTCTGAGGAGATTGTGCAGTATATCTTACTAAAAGCCAAAAACACTCTGAGAGTCGCGTGGTTGGAGTCCAGCCACAACGTGAACTTAATTCGTTTGTGGTGAGAGTGCTGACCAAACATTTATCGACTTTCATGAAGGAGGAGTTTTGGCCAAAGGGTGTCATATATCGGCGCTTCGAGTCAGGTTAGTTGACACCAGATTGCCCGACACGACGTCGAAAAGTGTACTTCGTGTAGATTAGTTATTTAGTTTTTATATTATATTATATGTATGTTAGTCTTTAAGGTATATATTATACGGGTCATGTTGCCTAATTTAAACGAATACTTTAAAAAAACATTTTCGACTTTGCCGTACAACTTCCAGAATTTGTAAAAAAAAAACTGGTTAGTATTTATTATAGTAGCCGAAGAGGTCCTTGTGAGAGGGTTCGTTCAGAAAAGTACTGCCACCTTACACCTATTTCTGCCGCCAAGCAGTAATCTGAGCATTACTGCATTCTGGTTTTGAAGGGTAAGAGTACTGGTGAAATCACAGGGACATAGGACTTGTCAACTTATGTCTCAGTGTCTGCCTCGGTGGCCGAACGGTTACCATGCCGGACTGCCACGCAGAGGTCCTATGTGTATTTCTCTCGTGAGTTTGGGTGTAATTTGTGGTTGTCTATGTGTGTGTCCATAGCACCCGCGACACAGGATTTCCCTAGTGCGGGGCTATGTTGAGTGTGTGCGTTATTATATTATTATTATATTATAGTGTGACGGTGCAACTGCTATGGACACGCGTGTCTTTTACTACCAGGCGCATGACTTGTTCGTCTCGTCATTAGGTATCATAAAACAAAACAAAAATAACCACAATAAGTTCTTAAAGTACTTACTATACCTCTCTGCTACATCCTATATAGCGTTCACTTCACGCCTCGATCGGGGTAGTTACAGACCACAGCCTTAAATTTTTATAATATCAAGTGATACGATTAACAAGTCATGCGCTAGACCTTTAATAGCCAAGATCTGAAGAGCACTGCTACTGCGCCCGTCACCTTGAGGCATAAAGACGACAAGTCTCAGGGTGACCGGCGCAGTGGTAGTGCCCCTCATACCTTTGCGATTGAAAGCTCTGAGTGGCACTGCAACTGTTATGGACAGCTGTGTAGCTTACCATCAGGGGCACCACTTATTCGTCTTGTCACTTAATAATATAAGAAAAGGAATTAAACAAATGACGTACGAAGTACTTACCCTTTAATCATAAGTGTCAAGGTGGAAAATGTGTATATAAGTGGCCAATAGAAGGCGCCCAACTGTGCCAAAATGGTTTTATCTTTATAAGGAGTAAACACTAAGAAAGGCTCTATCATGCTTATTTCGATGTCCTGTAACGTGTTTGTGTGTAAATGATGTGATAGCGCGTGAGATATTCGCCAATCTCTGAAACAATAGATAAATTATGAATAAAGGACGACGACCGGTGCAATATGGAGGCATGCTTTAAACTGGCATTTCCATACACATGGCATATTTTAAAGCACATAAGACCTAGATTTTGACTCTATTCCTCGATTTTCATTTAAAGCAGCGAATTTTTATATATTTATTTTTAAAAAAAACTACTTTTCCTAACCTATAATTGTCTAATAATCGAACAAACTTATAGAATTTAATTCTATATATAATAATATGCGGGAAAAAATACCCAGCTGCGCCTCGAGGGAAGCTCTTCCAGCTAGTTGTAATCTCTCCAAAAATTTTTCCTTAAAAATAAGATATATTGCAACTCGCATATCTGGCAACATTGAGCACATTAAATGACATGTAATAAACTGCGATTTGTCACATTAATACTAAACCGGAAATGCAACAGAATTACAAATATTTTAAACTGCTAATGGGTTCGAGAATACTATCAAATTTTTTTTTTAATTAAGGATAATTAAAAATATGAATTTGCTGGACATGCTAAGTAAGACGAAGGCAGTAATGGTCATCATCCTTTCTCGTTATAATATCAAATGTTGGCACTACTTCTTACAGTCCGATATTATGCTTATAATTTTATTATAAAACCTATTTACGATGTTATACAATAATATTACGAGATATTAAGTGTTCAAGAAAATAAATCGTCTTTTGGTAAGATCAAGGATAAGCTACTGAGATCAGATGAGTCTTAAGGTGAATGTGGGGTCGCACAAGGTCGAGGAAAGAAAGCACAGGTCATGATTATGTAAATTTAAAAAATCGAAATTTGATAAAATTCACTAATTTTTCACTTAAGGATAGGTTTACACTAGTCCACAATCTCATTAAAAATAAATATGTATAGTAAGCCGGATTTACATTTGTCTGACGTGTCGTGTCATAACGGGTCAGAACAGTATCGGTTTCATACACACAACATAAGCCCTCACGTCAGATTGCGACACACTAATATAAATCTAACCATATTAAATGTATAAATCCAATACCGTTCTGACGCGTCACGACACGACACGTCACACAAATGTAAATCCGGCTGAACTCTTGGCCAGTGATGCCCGTCTTTTTCTTGTCGTGTCATACACTATATGGCATGCTTGCCAATGTGGTGAAAGGATTTGCCAATTGGCGTAAAGTACTCCACCGATTGTTGCCCAGGGTGTTCCAGGTGTACAAAAAAGGAATGGTAAATTATGTGGTTCCTTTCGTGGATGCCAGTTAACTTCTAATTAATTTTATTTATTGAAACATTACAGCACACAAAACAGTGCAAATAGCGGACTTAATCAGGTATTCCCCGCCAGTGAACCGGAGAGTTGGGTTCAGAATAATTAACCTGACAGGGGATAACAATTGACAAGCTAAGATTAAAAACAGATACGATCAAAGTTTATAAATAATTATGCAACATAATTTGGTACATAAATATCGTCTGGTTGTATGAATATTTCAGAATTTACAAATTTAATAATTCACGCAATGAATCTATAATGATAATGAGTCGACCTGGAGAGTAACGATTCGATCATTAATTAGTTATCATCCCAGGAATAAAGTTTTTGCAACGTAACAAAATTAAAAAAAAAAAATTGTTTACACCTTTAAAAACATTAAACTGACCTCAAAAGATTGCTTATCCGTTTTAGCTGTGTTTTATATTCATTGTAATAACATATGTGCTAAGTTTTACTCAAATCAATTAATGGAAAATGGGCGAAATTCAATAAGAAGGAGGAATATTTTCTTCAAATTTAAATGGGACTACTATTAAGATACCTGTCTGACGATGTGACCTTCCATCGTCATCCCGCCTTTTTATCACCTTTTCTCTAGTTCCTGGCCACTAGTTTTCAAATGTTTAATCGTTCTTTAATTCCTTTGCCTCGGCTTTCTCATTTTGTTTCGTTCCGTCGTCACTTCCTGCTCAATCGCTGTAGTAAGCAGTGCTGCTCAAATTTTTAATTGCGTCTAATTTTGATCATTTTACAAGTGCCTGACCTAAATCATGTGCCAATTTTAATGCTAATCTCACCTTACTAGGTAAGATTACTATACTGTATGACTCGGCCCTCTCGGGGTAAATCTGTCTCACGTTTTTAGTATTTAAGTAGGGAGTGTTTTGTAGCGTTGTACTTGTTTATTTATATACCTTTTCTTGTTACAGCCTTTCTTTACCTTTTAACTATGGAATAAATTTTTGTGGACCGATGTATCCTATTTTATTTTGCGGTACATTAGCTGTTTACAACCTTTTTACCTGCATTCTAACAAAAAAAGAATAAACAAAATGTTTTAATTGGGGATAATAGCATAGCTTACTCAAAAAAAAGAATACAGAAGAACTGCGAACCTTCTTCTTTTCTGAATTCGGTTAAAAAATTAGGTATTTTTTGTTAAAGACAGAAAAAATCAGTTCTAGGATATATAAAACTATAATATTCAATACAATATACCTGCATTTAAAGTCAGTTTACCGATTCAACAAACCGAGTGGATAACATTGAGCCATATAAGTACTTTTATGCTCATAATTTATTCACTGGTGTTAACCAAACCAGGAAAAGGTAATTTATGTTAATAAAGGAGTAAGATACGTAGCAAAGTGAGATTTTTTAATTTTTCTTAAGACGTAAATGTATGATTGCATGGTAGCTAACTTGACTATAATGCCCCAAATAAAACCCTCGGGCGTTTTTAATTTCCATTACAACCATGGTCGGTAAGGAGTTTTTTTTTAATTTGTAGCACGACATACAGGTTCAAGTTCAAAAAAGGAGATTACTTAAGTTCAAAATAAAATTCAATATTAGTTAACTAAATAGTTAGCTAAACATATATGTATTAGCTATATGTTAACTAAACATAAATTTAATTGCAATCCAGCCACATACTTCTTAAATACTGATTTTAATTATTTTCTGTATAAAAATATAGGAATTTTTTTTAAAATCCATCATGGCTATATGCGTCTTGCTTTTTACAACATTTTAGTTCGAGTTGTATTATCGATGGAATAATAGATAGCTGACCATGTGTGGATAAAAAAAAACGAAAAACCCGCCATTTGCAAAACGTATAGTTTTTGTGGTGTGAACCATATTTATTCATACAAGAAATCGATGGGTCTTATGTATAAGGGCCAAAGCGCAAAATCACAATTGTACAAGAGAGATTTACAAACTTTCAATCTGGTATATTTTCAACATTTCCTTGTATTTCCAGGTTTCCTTGAAAATGTTTGATTTTGTTTTAACGCTACCTTATAGATTATAATGAAATGAAGCATTTCCCAGAAAAAAAGAGCTTAAAACTACTTAGGAAATAAATATTGTATTTATTTCCTCGTAAATGTGATGAAAAACATTGCATGTATCACGGACGGTAAAAAAATACTCGAGTTATTAATGTTCTAATAGACCATAGGTTCCCTAAATTTTTGGCTTACCGCCCATTTCAGGGAAGAAAAAAATTTCAACGCCTATCATAATTGAAAACACGTATTTTTTATATTAACTCCATACAAAAAAATCACAGGACAATACATTTTAGAGTAGTTTATTAGACAATTCAGGCTTTTTTTAATACGGTGGCACCTCCTGGGTAGCATCAACTTGGGGGGCCCCAATTGCTTTCGAGGCCCCTACCGCCCTAGGTCTTCAGCGCCCACTGGGGGGTAGGCGGTAGGGACCACTCTGGGAAATTATGTAACCCTCATTGGTAATTTCTTATGTATCGTCCTTAATATATAATTTACTATTATTCTTTGGTTGTCTAAGTTTTTACTAGGTATCTCTTATTTAAAGCTGTGGTAGCCTAACCGCCTTTTCAGCAGTAAACATATGTGATTGAACACAAATAAAAACTAAGCTACAAAGTATAATATCATTGGAGCTACAGGTCAAGTTATTCAATTCAATTCAATTCAATTCATTTATTCATTCTTTCGTTATCGAGTTGACATCTGTTTTTGTTATATAAGATAACAACTGCACTGGTTTTTCAGCTTTCATATTCGCCGGTATAAACTCTGTTGGTATAAAGCAACGCTACGGTGCAGCGTGGTCGTTGATTCAAATCCCATCGGATCGAAGAAATTTTTTTTATGCCCTCTTTGATTAATAATAACAAACTACTGGCATTATGTCACAAAAAAAATCTCATTAATAGTAAACATATATTTTGGAACAACTGACCTACCTGATATTTTAAAATGGTTATAATGGGTACTTCAGGAGCTTTTGTGGGCATACACGTAATAACTCACGAAAACTTTATCGAAGTCTGATGCCTGAACCCGTGTGTCATCGGATTTACTTACTATGATCTTTTACCTTCTACTCTCAGACTTGAACTGTCTTACGAAACATAGGCGCCGGCTGAAAGACCTTTTATTGAAAAACCCTTGTTATTATTTATTGTATTATTTATGCACTGTAAATGAATGTATGGACTTTAAATTGTAACGATATTTAGTATTTTCTATTTTATTCTAATTTTTACGGCACTGACATCCTCTTGTATAATTGTTATCAACTTATAACGATCCTCGATGGAGAATGATATTTGATATGTAATTTAATGACAACAATATTATATAATGAATTGTTAATTTTGTAATTATGGTGTATGTTTCTTATAATTTTCATTTTTGTCTGACCATCTCATTACAGTTTTTTATACTTTGACATGTAGTGCAATTTATACTGTAATGTTATATTATTAATCAGAATCTGAGTCTGATGAGTGATAATGGACATACGGGGTAAACATGCAAATATACATTCATTTATAAGTGGTAGCCTAATGATAACGCCATGATTGGGATTCGAATCCGGGCTCGTACATCTGAGTGTTTCAGAATTGATGTGTGAAATTTAATTTGAAATTTACAACGAGCTTTTCGGTGAAAGAAAACATCGTGAGGAAATATTCACCTCGAAGATGATTCGTAACTCCTCGGAAAATGTGTCAAGTCCTCAACCCGTATTGGGTAACCGTGGCGGGCTATGGCCTAAATGCTCACCTGAGAGGCGACCCGTGCATAGTAGTAGGACATATAAATGGGTTGATGGTGATGATCTCTTATTTATAATGTTGAGAACTGCTGATACATTATAATAAACTCAAAAAAAATCATTTGAAGTAAACAAGATAGCTAGTTTCCATTCCTTGCCTTGAGCCTTGATAAGCACAATTATTGCAGCAACAATTTTAAGTAATTAATTTAATCATGTTGTAATTAATCTAATTATGTTGTAATTAATTCAATTATGAATTCCCCAAACATATTACATATTACAATTAATTTGATTGAAATCCGCTTTGTTCAGTGACTGAACTTGTTGACCTATAAACGTTCACACCACCGCGCTGTTATTTCTTCCGCCATCAAAAAAGATCAAATTATTTATTTAACTGGATGAAAGAATAAAGTAAGCCGCTTTATTAAAACAAGGAAAATCACTGTAGGGATCTTTTTAAGCAAAATTATTCACACAACGACAACTCCGGCAGTTATCAACGAAGGGGAAGAAGAAGAAACGGGAACTAATCTCTGGAACTATGTCGTCACCGAGACGAATTGATCAGTGCGACGAAGATAATTTCAAAAAGGTGGAACAGAAGAAAGTACACCAGCCGTAATTTTAGTGGCATATTGCGTCCGTTGGTACCAACGACGTTGTTATAAGTATCACGGCTTCATTACTCCACAAACGCTGCGAATATTGTGGAATATATGCGGGTGAAAGTCAATGCTACCCTGAGGGTCGAGCGGTTGGGGTTCTCGCCACAACGTGAATTTTAATTCATTTGTGGTGATAATACCAACTCAACATCTGTCTACTTTCATGAAGGAGGAGTTTTGGCCGAAGAGTGTCATGGATTCCGAGGACGGTTACTGGACACCTACATATGTTGCGTTACACGTCGTAGTCCATATGTGTAAATAAATAGTGTTTTATTATAATTATTATTCGGTGGGACATATAATCGACAGTTCAAGGGAAGTATGTCTATAAATTTAAAATATTTTTTTGTTTTTAAAAACAATATAAAATACGATTAATCATATTTCAGTGATTACTTTACTTGATAGATATAATCTTCAAGAAAGATTATATATAGTGTAGTATACTTCATAAAAAAAGTTGTTACAATTATTACTAAAAAACCTAAATCTCCAATTTCCAGCAATCAACACCAAAAATCCACTAATTAACTAACCAGTAATCGATACTCACTAATAATGAACACCTAGTAATTGACATTTACTAATAAGAAACATGTTAATATGATAGAAAATTTTGTCCTAAATTAGAAATGAATTTAAACAAGAAGTCGAGTGTTTATCAATCACTGATGTCACCACCTTATATTAAGTTTGCAAGGTATGTTATCTATGGGTCTTTGTAATCTGAATATAAAAAAAATAATGCTTACGAATAACACATTCCACTAAGATTAAACAAGTACATTCTCCAACTGTCCGTCCGGTGGAAATAATTATGAGCACATACTGTTAATCCGCTCAAAACCAAGCCATTCGCAAGAATAAACGCAGCTCCAAAAACATAACTTTTGCTCCAAACCCAACAACAAAGGGGGCTTAAAACAATCAGACCGATAAACAAAATATCGGTGACGACATCGCTCTTTTTTCTTATATCCTTTGGTATTTCTTTTACTTTTTCAGAAACCTTTGATTTCAGTGTTTTGTAAAATCCGTCCTCTTTGAAGGTAAATGGGGAATTTCTGGGAGTTTTCGCTTTTTTTACGAAGTGTTTTGGAAGGATCGTTTCCGCGGTTCCTTTCAAGTGGTGCGTTTCAAACGCTTCTGTTACGTCGGTACCCTGTAATTATAACAAGTGAATTATATTAAGATAAAAATAATTCTAATTACATAACAATGTAAAATCGCAGAAACGGAACAATAAACGAAAAATAATATCACTGTAAAATGTACACGTAAAGTTACATTACAGTAATGCTGTTAGTTGAAGTGCAGTAAGTAACAAATTTTATTTTTCTATACAATGTCTGTTTTATTTCAGTGTAAGAAAATTAGGTGTAGTTCTCATAAGTAGTGTAGAAATAAGAGTGACTATCCATGATTAAAAAATACAACGCCAGTATATGTATAAAGCTGTGAAATTGGTTTGATGCTATGTTATTTGATGAATTGATGTTTTAGAAGGTCATGAAACGTATGCTGCAGTAATACTTTAATGGCATCGTGCGATATACGGTACGTAACTTAAGAGATCCACTGTTGCTAACCTATCACCAATGTTTGACGGATATTATCATCTTTTTGAGTATGACCATAGTATAATAAGACCAAGTATGGTAACTCCGTATAAAGGTAGCAGCGCGTCTTGTGTGTGTGCACGTTCGCCCCACGCCGTTTGCGGATGCACACTTTCGTGTAATCTCGCAATGCACTCGCATTGTACAGCGCGAGTCGTCAGTCGCATGCGTCTTTAATTATAGAATTCAAACGTGAGTTCAGTGTTTAAAAGATGACATCAAATAGTAGACGTGTTTATTGTTCTTTGAAAAGGGTGCCTCAAATTCAGAATTGTCGTTTTTCTCAATATAATAGCAATATAGTTGCCCTACTTGGTCCTATTATACGTACTGTGGTATGACTGAGGGGACCAATTCGAACGCTGCGATATTTTTTCGATTTCGTAATAATGTCACATTCTCATGTTTACGGAAATATCACCAAAATCCTTATTGTCTCAAATATTTCTTATTTTCTGTTTCAATAGAGGTGCTAAATCGAAAGCTTTTCCAATCTCTGATAAGTATAACATTCAGGTTTATCATTTGTATCCAATATGCGTGTATACCGAAAAGAAAGTATAGAATATAGCCTCAACGGCACATTTAGAGAATATTAGTAAAACCCCAAAATAATAAGGTTTTTTCAAAACACTGGCCTTTATTTTACTTTTGTATTTTAGGTCTCATCAAAAATAAAAGTGTTTTTTTTTTTCATTTATGTACTTGATTTAATCGTTACTAATACGAGTTTGTTGAATAGTTCGAGATCAATTTTGCGTTCTTGTTTTCGTTAAAAAAGTTTTTTATTTATTAAAATTTCATAAAGTTAATGTGAATTTAAAAAATGCATTACAGTATAAATACATTTTGTTTAATTTCAATAAAGTTTAAGTTGATCGGTACTAAGTTGATGTTAAAAGATGTTAATGCAGTTGCTACTTAATGTCTATACATAATTACTATTTGATATTTTCACGTTTTTTGTTCAAAAGTTAAATTTATGTTAACATTTTGTCTTAATCCAAGAGAATGTAAATGCCTAACTACATTATTTAACACACGTTATTGGTTTCGTTTTCATACGATTCTTGTGTACCGACATCCCGATCTTAACAGTCTCCGGCTATTTGAATGTCGAGCGCGAAGGTTCGATATAACGTTTGTCGTGGTATTTTGAGAATATGAAAAAATATTTTTAGATCGATTAAAACCATGGCGCATAATAATGTCTTCGCAATTTCTGTACTAAGACATTTCTTTTATTCCACGAAATTCGGGCCCTCGATCGCACAAGGTTTATTAACCGATTTTAAAAAGGCGCAGGTTCTCAATTCAATTGTATTTTTAGTGTGTATGTTATGCGAGTGCTTCGACTATTGTGAATCGATTTCAATTATTCTTTTTTTGTTGAAAATTTATTGTTTGTCCTCTCTAATTCTTGTAACTCTATCTGCAATATTAGTCGATGGAGTTACAAATATTAGAGAGGATGAGGGTTATATTTTTCTGTATCTACTGGAACAATAAACATTTTTGACGTAACTCCACTTATACCAATCTTAATTAAGGAGTGCGATTTGAAGAAAATATCCCACCTCTAAGGAGATATTAGGGTATAAGTCCGATCTCGGCGGCAAAAATAGGTAAGGTGACGGTACTTCCCTGCACGAGTTCTTTCATTTGGAGCATAACTTGTGTGTAATTAAATTTAATTAAATAGAGTTAAAACAAAGAAAACAAAGCACATTGTTAAAGATATAAGTAAATGTGATAAGTAAGGTCACCTTAGTAATAAGAAGCCATTCTGATCCACCTGGGTGCGACTTAATAAAATCTGTCATATCGTAGAGACCATCGTGGATTCTCCATAGGTCTTCAGCTCCGTCCTGAAGCTGTTTGCCCTTGATCCATTGTTGAGGTGTCTTAGGATCCACATCGCGGAGTGGTGGGTACTTCAGATAAGGAAAACTGACGTGTCTTCTATCTGGATCTGGAGCCATTGGCTTCTGGGAAAAATAGTATTAGAAGTAAAAAAACATAAAGGAACAAATGACACTTATTTCAATTAATTATTAATGCAAACTTGTTATAATGAAATGGCTTTCAACCTTGGATTATGACACTTGTGAAAATCTAATAAGACCTCCTAACGGCATAGTAGTTTTGAGAGACCACGCTAAATACAAAGTCCAAGTAAATATACGAGTACAATATTTATAATCAATACAAATGCGAACACTCGTTGAAACAGATTTTAGCAGCTTAACGAATATTAACATAATTGTAATATAATGTCGTAGAGTTTCAATGGAATTACAATGACCAGTCAAAGAAATTGCGTGACCCGCATGCGGCTCTCATGGCCAGCTACTTCGAAACAAGTTTATAGTATGGTGTTGAGAGTATTAATAATGAATAGATTTTCTTTTTAATTTCACGACGTTGTCATGTATTTTTTGAACATGACGTTCATCTATTTTTTTGTGAAATAACTCCACAAGTTTGATATAATTATTAAAACAATAGAGATTAATATAAAGATATATCTAAATTTGAGATAGCTGTAAAAGTGCCGGCTGAGTGAGAAAGTTTATAAATCTCTCACAAGATGTCACTTACGTCGTTGAAAAACCGGAAAAACCTAAAACAGACACAGAAGAATTTCGTCGACCTGTTAACTCGACCTGTAGCCCAGTTGTCAGAAAGAAACTAGGGTGTAGCGTGGACGCAGGTTCAAGGCCAGTCGAGTCGAAGAAATTTTTCTTTGTCTTTGCATTAATTATTGCTTTATTATTATTTTTAAATCGATTACAAGAAACGTTTCTAAACAAATTTCCCTCCGATGTCATTAAGTCAACGAACTGCCATTCGCTGATGTAATCGCAAATTTTATCTTATCCAATTAACATTCGCAAAATCGATTACTGTAATCACTGCTAAACTGTAACTAAGTAATTAAAGAATCTGAAGAATTTGGTGGTTATTTCCAACAATTTGTCACTCAATAGAACAATGGACCAAAGCGAACGTCTTCCCGGATGTTCCGCCCGCCGATCCGTAATATGTTTTTATTAAGTTTCAAATTTATAATAAGCACCATAATAATAATTCGTAATTCATCTTCTGGGGCGTCTTCAAATTAAACGCTTGTAGAAGCGCTGCAGTGATGAGTCTAAGCTGCGGCATCGCGCCACTACTAATTTTCGTAATAAATAATATAATATTTTACAATATCTAGTCTCCAAAAATGGCGCGCGAGGGGCGCGACTGCAGCTGCGCTTCTAAATATTACATGAAAATCAGTAGTCGCCCATAGGCCATGGAAGAGGTGAGAATGGAAAAGAAATAACCAAAATAATAATGTCTCGGACAGATAATCATACCAATTAACTAGACTCTAATTAGGGAATTGCCTAGGGAAATATGTGGTATACCAGAGCCTCGATATTAGCTACGGTAATACTCTCCGAAACTATCCTAGAAAAATTTAGAACAATTCGTTTCCAAAATTGGGCCTGCTGAGAATGGAAGCTCAGTGGATCATCGATCTCGTCGATATGTAGCAACATTGTCGACAATGTTGCTACCAGCTACATATCGACGAGATCGATGCTTGGGGGTAATGACCCTGTCGCCGATATAAATAGAATCTTTATCCTGCAAAAACGTGTTTTTAGAGCAATTTATGCACAATAGGGCCCCGGAGTATCTTTGAGTCAAAATGCAAATTTATGTTAAAAAGGATAGTGTCTTTTAATGAAAAATAGTGATAAACACAACCTTAAAATACGAGAAATAAAAGTGAACTGGTTGTCCTTGATAGCCGTGTTCGATCTATAATAAAATACCCGTTGATATTTAAAATTTGCCATTCACGAGGTTTAAAACTATAGTAAAACAAAAGCGATATGTTAAAGTTTTTGTGTACCTAAATGACAAAAATCCATGGTAGTGATAGACACACATATTTATATAATATTGAATATATAAGATTCAATTCTAAATCTTTAACCACGTGTCTTGCTTTTTGAAGGGCAAGGGCGCGTTTATTCGACACGAATTTCACCGCGTGCACGTGTTCAGAGACCGAATGGTAAAATACGCCCTATTTGTTTAGCTTTTACGTTTTAACTTAAATGAGAGGCTGGCTTGTCTTTAGTCCACGTGGCTTCCGCGCGATCGCTCCGAGGAATTTAAACGTCGTAGTTAAGTCTAGTAAATAGAATCCAGATTCGCCATTAATGTACTTGAAAGCATGGTTACCGCGCCGCGCGGCGGCCGCACTAGCATTGGGCGCTAAGGGTGCAGGTGAAATTACGGGCACATGGGACTTGACAACTTATGTCTCAGGGTGCCGAGCGCAGTGGCAGTGTCCCACAGATCTTTGGGACTCAAAACTCTGGGTAACACTGAGGGAATTAACGAACTGTGCATGCACCGGAAATGCGAATATTGAGATGCATGCGTAGAATGACGGGAAAGGATAAGGAATGAGTACATCAGGGGAAGTTTGAAAGTGGTACGGACATATCTTGCGGAGGGAAGAATGTCATGTAACGAGCGAGTGTTACGTATGAATATGTGAGTATAGAAATGACGGCTGATAGGGGAGAGTGGAAGAGAAATACATGTTGTGCCGACGCTACCTAGCATGGGACATGGATAAGGATAGAAAGAAGAAGAATAAGAAATAGTAAGTTTTAAGTTGGAAATGACTTGGCTAAGGAAAGCTGTTTGACCTGGAATTCAGTTTGTTGGTAACATAATGCAGCGGATTTCGCATTCTTGCTAAAACAATTTTATTTAGTCAATAATTATGATAATCCATATAGCTTTCCGCTACTTTGGCTACGTGATAGGATTTTAATAAGCGGATTTTTTTTTGATAATGTCGGATAAGTAATCTTCATTAATTACTTGTGTTGTAAATTGTTATTAAAATGTATATAAATAATATTTATTTCATAAGTAACCAAATTCCACTTCAAATCATTATGTTGATTGACTGTACTGCTCATTCGTAAGGCAGATCCTCTGAGAAGAATGAACAAGAAACTCTAGGGGTTGCTCTTTGTACAAACAACACATTTATCATTTATTTTATTTCGTACATTGAGATCCAGACAACTCCGACACTACCACGAATTTTTGTTATTCAGGTACGCAGAAGGTGTAGATAACTTTGGATTACAGTTTTTGTTTCACTTTAGATTCAAATCAGCTGGAATCTTAAGAAACTTGCTTACACATTGCCCCATAAATGAATTTGTGACTTTGTGAAGTCGACTGTCAAGAGCAGCTTGTTTATGTTTATTCCTCGTATAACAGTTATTTCCGTCACGATTTTTCATAAAAATATTTCTTTTTTTAGTTTATTAATTATCAACTGCCTCTGTGGCCGAACGGTTACAATGTCGGACTGCCACGCAGAGGTCCCAGGTTTGATTCCCGGGCCGGGAGAAATATTTGTATGGCCTACATTTATTTCACTCGTGAGTTAGGGTGTAATTTGTGGTTGTCTGTGTGTTCATGGCACCCGCAACACAAGGTTTCCTAGTGCGGGGCTATGTTGAGTGTGTGCGTTATTATTATTGATCAAGATACAGAAAAAATACTTATTTACTAATTGAAAGCTTCGCTAACAAAAACCCTTCTCTGGCTTTATCCGCGGCGAAGGAGTTTGGTCTATTTAAGTAAAATATAACATAATAGAGCAAGAACCTTAAAACTAACTGAATTACATCTAGACAGGTACAAAAACATGCTCACTTACATAAATGGCATATAATACCCATGAAGCAATCTACAAAATAAGTTTATATCTTCAGTTTTCAAAAAAATGTTTCTCAATGTATGATTTATACGTGTTTGTTGTTTTGATAATTACATACAAACTCCTCTATCATTTTTGTTTATTAATGCAGGTAACAAATATTTCCAATTCCCGTGTTCATAATAGTTATTGCATTTAGGTCGTATGAATTTCTTTTGGTGAATTATTTTTCTTAATGTAGTGTGACGAGAGTACGAGGTAAACTTTGTGAAGTTATGATATTCATCTATTAATAGAGCAGTGTTTAGTTTGTTCTGTACGGTTTATATATTACAATATTTAAATAGTTGAGTTTCATTATCTACAAATTTGTTTTGAATTTTTTTTGCGGAACAATTATTTTACTTGTAATTTATAAATATTTGGTATATGTGTTTTAAATATTCTCCTCGAACTACTTACACCATAAGCAATTATGTGTATAAAGTGCCATATTGTGGTAGTTTGTGACGCAGCACCGAAAGCTTTGCCGCTATAGCACGTAGTTTTTCGCAAATATAGTTAATATGTGGGCTCCAATTGAGTATTTTATCAATTATGAGTCTTATGGACACATGACTAGATACAAATTTTATATCAGGACATTCACATTGTGTGTCTTCACTATGAAGGAACAAATACTTATGGGCGACGATAGACTTAGGTATTCGTCATAAATTACATTTTCATAAATGTACTGCGACGTTAGTTCTTACATTATGATATTTTTTATGCCTATCTTTCAAAGACACTCTAGTGTCCAGATTATAAATTGCCCTAACCGTACGTTTTTTGCCGGGCAAAGGTTCTATTAATATCGACGGCATTACACTAAAGCAAAATGCCGGATATCACTAAACTGCGAAAGTAGCTGAAGTAAGTAAATTTAGCTGTGTCTACGTCCGAAAGTTTTTATCTTTGTATATATCTACACAATTTACGGGTTATTAAAGTAGGTAAAAATACATTTATTACAAGTACATCATTATTTTGTAAGTAAATGAACATTTTTAAATATTCCGAGCTGCGTTCTTATTACCGACTGTAACAATTCGTATTTAGTTTTCCTTTAAGATTTTCTATAGCTACATTGTAACTGGACTTTAGTGATATGAGGGTATACTACCATCAACCATATCACCTAATAATAGTTTACTGACTATGACCCCTATATAAAAGGACTATGTGCCGTAA